CAGAAATCCCTTGTTTCCCAGCATTCAGTTCAATGTCTGACTGAAAGTTTCTCTTTATTTTTGATTACTTAAACTGAAGTGGGCAGGAAACACGTTTATTTTGGTTTATTTCTGTCTCTCTTAAAAAAAAAAGAAAAGAAATGTTCATTAGACTGAAACTTGTGACCAGCCTCAACATCAACCAGAGAGTTCTATTTAGAAGGGAAAATTCGTGTGCTGTTTTGTTTTGTTTAAGCTCAGGAGTGTTTTTAGTTTCGTTGCATTGTTTTTGGTCCTGTCTGTCTTGTTTGATGGTTGGCTTGTTTTTATACCAGTTCTTACTCTGTTGCCTAGGCTAGCCTCAAACTGCTAGGCTGGAGCAATTCCTTACCTCAGCCTCCTAAATAGCTGACACTACAGTTGCGTACAGCCATTGCAGACAGGAACATTCATCTTACCTTGAATTTAAAAGTCAGTTTACTAGTCAGCCAGGTAGTCCATCTATTTTCTCTCTAAGCCTCCTCTTTTCTATGACACAATGCTTGAAAAACTGCAGAGAGTTATTCCTGTCCTTTGGGTTTCAGTATTCTAAAAAGTCAGCATTTGGGGTAGAGAAAATTATGTAAAGCTAGCTGAAGAGGTGAATTTAGGGGAGGACAGCCTACACTCATTTGAATCCTGAGCTCCTAAAAACAAACGTGTTATTTGTTCCCCTCTCTTACATTGAGTTTCTGTTCAGGATAGATTCCTAACAGCTTCTATGGGTCAACCCCCAAGCTGTGGGTGAGAGTATGCTACGGAAAAGTTAAGCCAGAGGCTGGAGGCTGGAGGGTGGAGGCTGGCCTTTACCACCTGCCCCCCTGGGGGCATCCCAGCAAATTCAGTCTCCCTGAGATTCAATTTCCATGGCTAAAAGTAGGGATCATTTTCACATATCAGAGAGCCAAACACACAGCAATGATGAACTCTAGCTCCTGTTGACAGGATTAAGTCATGAAGGTGCATATCTGTAATCCAGCACACAAGAGGCTGAGGAAGAATGGAAAATCTGAGATTGGCCTAGGGCTACAAGTAAATTCCAGGCCAGTATCAGCCACACAGTCTTCGAAGTGCTTGTGTTGAAAGCAGGGACACCTGAGTTCCCTCCCTGCCTCGAATGTAAGAGGAAAAGCCAGGGACAGTGCTGCCTGCCCCAGTCCCAGTGCTGGGGAGAGAGGTGACTCACTCCCTGGGGCTGACTGGCCTCCAGCCTAGGCTACTTGGTGAGCTCCAGGCCAATAAGAGACTTTGTCCCCATCCTACTCCACCCAAAAGAAGGTGAACTGCATGTTGTTCATGTGAGATTGTCTTGTGATTTACACACACACACACACACACACACACACACACACACACACACACACTACTCAATTTTTAAAATGCAGAGAAACTATGTCTTAGCTTTTTTAAAGCCATTAATACCCTTACAGAGGCCCTGTCCTCATGACTTCATCCAACCTTAAGTATCTACTAAATGCCCATTCTCCAAATACTATCAGCATACAAATTTAAAAAAACAAACAAACATGCAAACTATAGGAAACTAGAATCAATTACTGCAGATGAAACATCTCATTGACCCCTATAGTGACACAGTAGATCACACAGGCCATCAATGTTTCATTTTACTTTACTTTTCACACTAAACTGAGATCTGGCCATGACACATAACTCTTGGACCTGGAGATGTATTTCCTGTTCATCCTTTGCCTGTCACTAAAGGAGGAATCATCCTGAGTAGACAGCATCCCCCTGAAATGGCTGACTCACACTATCCCACACCAACAAAAGGACACTGCCTTTTCCCTACCACAAACTCATCACTTCTGTTCATGGTTGTCTATTTGCTTAATGCTTTCATGCACGTATGTGTTGTACGTAGAGAATAACCTGCGTCATATCCCCATGTCTGTGTGTAGAAAATATTATTCCCTGCGGTCTGAAAACACTCAAGCTTAGATTCTGAATTAGATACAGTAGAAATGGATTGAAGGATTGGAGTCAGAAAAGGCTCATTTCCTTACCAAACAAGGAATCCTTGTAAATCCCCATTCTTTTCTTCTTCCCCTTCTACTTTCTCCATGAGAATTTCCCATGAATCAAGTTATACCAAGCCATTTGTGTTCTGTCTAATTAAATCACCAAGTCACTTCTACAAAATCTTATTCCCATTTAAAATTATATAGCTTAATAATAGATTATGTGTGTAACATGAGTAAGTTGGGGTCCATATATTAATGATAAAAACAATATTTTTAAAATATACTCAAGTTTCACTGAGTTCATCACTTCCCAAGCTTTTAAGAGATACAGTAGATGCAAGGCACAGTGGCACAAACATTTAATCCCAGCACTAGAAAGGCAAAGGCAGGTAGATCTCTGAGTTCAAGGCTAGCTCGGTCTACACAGAAAGTTTCAGGCCATCAAAGGCAATGGAATGAGACCCTATATCCAAAACAACAGAAGAGATGGATAGAAATTTGAGTCTATGCTTTCCTTAGTAGCAACTCCCATGTCTAAAGGAGCCAGGTTCCTGTCCTCCGATAATCAGATTTGTCCCTAAGGCCAACCAACCATCAAATCACCAGAAGTATTGTGGCTGAGGTGATTCCTCAGAGTATTTTCTATGGATTCTCCTCCCTTCCTGCCCTACTAGATGGGGGTCAGCAACTCCCCTGTTGTCAATGATGTCTCAACTTTTGTCCTTGATCTGAAGGTTCTGCCTAATCCAGCTTCCCTGGTCCTGTGTCTTTACCATCCAATGTCATCATAACTCTTCTCATAGCCAGTTCATCTTCCATAACATTTTCCCCAGAATATTACCCATGCACACAAGTATCTGCATTTACATAAATTAACATATGTCTTAACAACCCAGTATATCCCTGCATACATATTCCTCCATAAACATACACAAGCTTGCAGTGTTTACTTATAGCTCACTTGCACGTATACATTCTTACCTTAAAAACACCCTTGAATACCTACATATCTTTCCCACACAAATACACTACACTCACACATCTGTGTGCATGTGTAGTCCTATACACACTCTTCCCTACATACACATACTGCTACATACATAGCCATATGCACACACATATATTTGTACACATATGCCCTGAGCGCGCGCGCGCGCGCAAACACACACACACACACACACACACACACACACACACACACACAGAAAACTAGGTCAAAATATGCATACGGATGAAACATATAGGAATAAGGCTAAATTTTTATAACTATCAATTTCAGTGACAGGACTGAAGGACGTCTTCTTTCTTTACAAAATTATTCACTTGACTAACAATGTGGCTCAGTGGCTTGGTGCTGTCCCTCCCACCTGTAACTCCAGCACTTGGGAAGCTGAGGCAGGTGGCTGACTCTAAGTTTGAGCTTTGGGTACGTAGTGAATTCCAAGCCAGTTTGAACTACAGAATATGACCTTGCCTTAAAAACAAAACCAAAAAACAACAACAATGTGCCTTTGTGATCAGCGTCTACTGAGAGTAGAGCCTGAGGTCCTCTGAGGCCGTGGAATCAGGGAGTGTCCCTGCACAGCAGACATTTGAGGCTCCTGAAAGAGCTGCCATCTTAAGAAGAGGAAGATGGCTCCTCCTCCTCTGTTCTTCTTCATTTAGTTTCATTTCTCAAAGGATTGCAGAATTGAATGCATTAACTTTTGTTTTACATCTTCACAGTGAGAAAATACTGTGGTCCCTTTTTATGATTATATGAGTATTATTATTCAATTTATGTTTGTGATGATTATTATTCAATTACTGGATATATTTTTAAATATATCCCTGGTTTTCCTCGGTACTTGGGGTGGACCCCAGAGCTTAGTGATTGGTAGGCAAGCACTCTGCCACTGAGCCCCACACCCACCCACAGCACGTGCTTCTGCTCTGGGAAAAGGGCTGGAAGGCTTGTACTTGAGCAAGTGCTGTCCCAGCTTTGGAGACCATGGTAAAATGCAGAGGTTGGTCAAAGGACAACTTCTCCACACCATCTATTATTCTCACCTTCAGAAGGGGAAATGAAGGACCTCGGGGGGCTTTGGAGACGGTTTGGCTTGAAGCTTCTGTGTCTTTTGTTATCATCATCAATATGTCTAAAGTTTCTTTCTCTTCAAAAAGAGTTGCATCAGAAGCTTTTAGATTAGGACAAATATAGCTTGTTATCATCGAATCTATGTGTTTAATATTTATGAGGGAGAAGAATGATGTACAATAAACCCATTTCCGATGTGTCAAACTGTATCGTGAGTCATGGGTCTGCCTAACCAGATAATATAACAGGACATCCTGTAGTCACTGTGCCGTTTTTCCAAGCACTTCAACTTCTTTGTTTCTTTTCTGGCTCTGCTGCATAAAATACAAAGGCAACTGAACTTCAACCAAATGCACATTGTATTAGAGCTTCAATTTCACATCACAATAACTTTAAAATGCTTTTGGATAACCACTCTCTCTGATAACATGTCCCCTTTGGGGGGGTTGTTTTGTTTTGCTTTGTTTTGTTTTTGTGGTTGTTTGTTGCAGGACTGAAGCCCGAGCCTCGCACATGCAGGGTCTGAGGCGCACTAGCAGCTCCTGCTTCTTGTTTTAAAGTGCACCCCTCCCCTATTGACTTTCATTCATTCTCTCCTCACACTCCCAGCCTCCCCTATTGACTTTCATTCATTCATTCTCTCCTCACACTCCCACCCTCCCCTATTGACTTTCATTCATTCTCTCCTCACACTCCCACCCTCCCCTATT